TTCCACCTGCGCTTTTCCTGTTATTAAGTAAAAATGTTGTTGTGGTGTATAAATTGATTTGGGAGCAATATAGAAACAAGAGTGCTCCAGTGACATCAAGGCTATCATGATTCAGGTTTGTAAGATTCACTGAGAGTAAAACAACATTTAATGTACAGATTTTATGAGAGAGAGGAGATTAAAAACTGTTGATGCTTATCAAACAAATGTGTCAGTCAAACCCAAACTCCAGTTTTAATTTGAAGTTCAACATTAATTTGAAGACAACAGAGACTGATAGGAGACATGCATGAAGTTAAACATGCAGTTTATGTTCTTGATAATGTTATTTCAATAAAATCCAAGTATTGTTTGGTGTTGACAGAGCCGGCCCTCCCTGTAAGTCAACTGAGCTGCTGGTTTCGGGCCCCACAGCCTCCTGGGGACCCCAGAACTCGTGCATTGTTTGCTTATTTAACCAAAGGAGTTCACTCATAAACTGAGACTATTTGCCGGATTTACAAGAGGGGACAAATAATTAAGATTTTCTTATACGCAGTGTTTCAGAAAGATATAGAGTTATAGAGGTATATAGAGTTTTTCCTAACTCACACCTTCAAAGGGTTGTTGGCACTATAAGAATAACCAGAGGAACATTAACCTCTCAGTAGCCTGGTATCCAATAGCCAAGCTACAGTGTTGCTCTTGACCAAATGAAATCCATCTCAAGAAGCTCCATTATTTTTTTCATTGCGAGGTTTAAATCGTACATTATTTTGAGGAGGAAGAAAGATTTTATCTTCCAGATGTGAAAGAAGACACAATAATCCTTGTCATTTTGTTTAATAATAAAATTTTGTTTGTTTCAATATTTTTCACTGTTTGTTCCTCTGCCTGGCCAATCTCCAAAATGATTGCTACACACACACACACACACGCACACACACCTTTCCCATTATGTAATTGCCCCGCTGTCATCACTGTGGCCATTATCTCCACAAATGGCACAAATAACACTGAGATGTTGTTGTCAGTCAGAACGAGGTAAAAATATCACCACATTGTTGACTGTGATCTTATCAGCCTCTAATTTGTGATGTTTACCGTTGGATTTTCCTCTCTGTGCGTGTTGTTTTTCTTCTTACCATGAGGTCACTTCGCCTTCGCCCGGCCTCTGATGTCCACAGGTCTTCTTGACGTGATTAAAATAAATTGCTATGGTGTTCATGTGAGTGTGTGTGTGTGTGTGTGTTTTGGAAAGGTTGTCAGGAAGGGTTTATTGTAGGTGATTTTCTTAATCTTTTTACACACGTATTCCAATCTTATCAGTGGACGTTGTAATTTTAACTTGGTTAGACCATGGTTAGTTTGACCCCTTACGGGACCTCAACCTTGGCAACAGGGCTTACCGCAGATACACCCTTCCTGTATCAATGGCACTATCATAACTTACCTGGCTGTGTGTACTTGTGGGTGAAGAGGCGAGGAGAAAATAAAAAAAGGCTCTGGACTTCCCACAGGTCTTAACCTGCTGCAACAGTTGGCAGAGAGTGCGGGCAGAAAGAGGGAGAGGCGCACAAAGTGGATGGAAGGAAGGGTGAGGGAGGAGGGAGGGAAGAGGGAGGGCGATTGGAAAGATGATAAGCCTAAGAGGTCTGTGAGCGACCTAACAGTGAGGTATTGCTGTGTGTGCATTTTGTAGTAGTGGACAGTTTTTATCATAACGGATCTGATCCTGAAATAGCTTCAACTTGAGCAGCTTTTTATCTGTCTTTTATTGTTTATCAATCTGCTGCAGGATGAGATTTACTCAAGTGCTCTACTTAAGTACAACTGTGAATTGTTAAACTTTATACTTCCACTCCACCACATTTAAATTGTTCTTTTTTTACTGCACAACGTTTATCTGTACTATAACTATAGTTGTTAGTTACAGTTCAGGCATATTAAAAAAACATAATATAAGCTTATGAAATACAATATATATTGTTAAAGAAAACTCCACCTTCATTGTCTTTTGTGTTGCATACATTTTTATATTTTAACATGCAATGCTAAATAGGAGGAGTATTTAAAGATTAAACCAGTGCATTGTTACTCTGTACAAGAAGCATTGTTTAGTTGGGTCCCTCATGATTCAGATGTTGTTAGCAGTTCTACCAAGGAGACATTTTCCCTTTAAGTTTGTTTGTTTCATTTAAATCATTATTTGAGGCCTAAAAAGGTCAAAGTATACAGTATTCAAAGAATAAAAGCAGAGATCAGAGATTAAAGTATGAAACATTAATACAAAGTTATGTAGCAGAATTTTGTTTTTTCTTCTTTTCTCTCCCATTAATCATCTCACGACCCCTCAGATTTATCTTGTAACCCACTGGAGGAACAAAACAACCAAACTGTACATAAAGTAGTAAAAACTCTTACTCACATTCTTCTTACACTTTGTTGCATCAATATCAACAATCTAATGATATAAATGTGTATACAGTATTTTAACTTTTTGAGACACTTTTACAAAATGTTTTTATCTGGTTATGAAACAGTCTCAGTTTAATACAGGTGCCTCACAACAGCACACAAGACCATCTGCGAGAAAATTGGCTCTATATATTATTTCTATGTACTCTTAATGCCTGCCACTCGGTCAGATTCAACTGAATTCCCCCTGAAATCAATTAAACGAGGTGGTGGAAACATTAGTCCACAGGGTCCACCAGAATTAGGATTAGTGTGATTACACACTAATAAAAACATATCATCATAATAACATATTATTACATTTCTGCCAATAAATCCTCCTAAATGTTTCACATTGGATTTGCAGTGTAAAGATATAACTCATGAATACTAAACATAACTTCAGGTGAGAGTTGTAAGCCGAAGCTTAATGACTCCAGCTGGTCCATCTGTTGGCTACCTGCTATCTGCCGGCCTTAATGAACTGGCTGCGAGCCCTCTGCAACCCAGCACATCTCATTAGTACCGTGATTTCTAAGTAATGTGTGTTTGTGGGTGTTCGTCCTCTTCCCCTTACTATTCTTTTTTCTTATCTTATCGCCTCTCCTTTACTTTTGTGCTGCCTCTAATCTCTTTTATCTTATCATCCCTTTGTTTTACCTCCCTCTGACCTCTTTGTTCTCTTTCTCCATCACATATCTGAAAATCTGACAAACTCCAGGAGTTCTGCAAATCGTTATTCCACCACAGCTGCCACAGTTTCTCCTCTCCCTTTCTTTGCCCTTTTCTCTTTACATACTCCCACATAATTACCCTTTCTGGCTGCCTTTTCTCAGTCCTTTTCCCCTTTGTACAATCACTCTGCTCACCTTTTCATCCCGTCTGTTGCAGCACAGATATACTGGATGTGCCTCCACTTGAAGCAAATCCCTGACTCAGTGTTTTCTGACACACCAATTTTCACTCCCCTAACATTGTGCACCTTCATTGCAACCCTTCATCTTCTCTTCTCCTCCTTGCGTGTCGCCTCTTTTCGCTGACCTCCTGCCCTTAACCTCCCTCCAAATCCATTTCTCCCTCACTTCACACCTCACTCACCTCCTGTGCTCACTCACCTGCTTCCTATGTATTCCTGCCTCCCTCAGCTTCCTCTCCTCCTCCTCCTCTGGCAGCACACTCTCACTGCAAAGACGTGACTACACATCCATGTAGCCCTTTAGGAGAAACCTTACCCACAATGCTCATGGTGGAGCAATTTGCATGATAGGCGCTGGTACGCTTTGCAGAGGTAGGGATGGAAAGAGATAGAGAAAGCTAAAAGACAGAGAGAGAGTTGTAAGAGAAAGCATTGGACTGAATTATTCATTGCTGGTCTATAGGATGAACAAATGCATTAGAAAAAGAGAAAGGAGAAAGAAAAAACACCTGTCCTCTGTTATCTCTCTAGAGTGTGATATCTCTGTAAACTCAAAGTCATCATTTGAAGGTGTCCAGCTTATGCCAGAGTCCCCAGCTTGTGTACTGTACTGCAGGATGGCTACATAAAGGCTGCCTTTATCTTTACCTATGGCTATGAATTTTAATATACATATATTTATATCTAGATATAGTCAAATAGACTGTACACGCAACAACCTGCCCTGTCTATACAGGATTAACCTGCAAGACTTGCCGGAGAGTAAAAAAAAAAAGAAAAAAAGAGCAAGATAGATCACACCTGGTCCAAGATTGTGTTTGTGAAATTGAACAGGGTTTTTTTGGACGTCCTCCCTCACCCCACTGATGTCTTTCTGCGTCTCTCTGCATAGCTGCAGGTTGAGGTTTTCTTGACTCAGCACCCACGCTGCACCTCTGGCGTGTTCGGGCAGTGAATCACTTCTGATGTTGTACTTTTATTTCAAGTTTTAGGGCGAGGATAGAAACACGCACATACACACACACACACACACACACACACACACACTCTTTCCACAGTGGTGAAACGAAACTAGGTACATTTACTTAAATACAGCATGTAACTACAGTTTAATGAAGCTGTACTTGAGTTTTTCCATTTTATGCTTTATCCTTCTACTACATGTAATTCACTGCTATAGTTACTACTTACCTTTCAGATCAAGATTTTATGTGTAAAACATATGATTCTTTTATAAAGTAAAACACATAAGTGTAGATTAAACTATACAGTTTATAAAGACAGTATATCCTGACAACATTAAAATGCTGCTTATACATTCATGATTCAGTACTCTTTCTCCAGACTGACTGTCCCCACCTTTTAGCATAAAAAATTAATGAATACTTCCTAAATATAGAGGATTGAGTGATCATGCAGGTCAAGAACATAGCCCATCTCTGGGATTAAAACTTGTCTTTGGCCTTTATTAACAAACACAACATCAGGGGTGATACAGTGAAGAACCACTGGAAGGCCTCTTTCTCTAGTGAGACAATGGATGTGACTGTAAAGGAGAACAGAATTCTCTTTTGTTGTTTATTGTGATGTTAAACTAAAAAAATTATATTTGTGTCTGACAGATGTTTTCTCTCTGTTTCCTCCACAGAAGTCCTTCTCTCTGGTGTTGGAGGCTCTGGACTATGACAACGACACGTCAGAATCAGGTGATGCTGCAATTTGGTTTTTCACCTGTTTTGTGGTTACTGGCGAATTTCAGGGTTTTTTTTTTGTTTAATTACACATTTCTAAACAAATGTAAAAAATCAAATTCTTGTTATAACTCAATTTTGTTATGTCAAAATTTACATAGTTGGGCATCTAAGATAGCTTTTAGCATGAATGTGTTAATAATGTAATTGTTTTCTTCATCATGATTGTATTCAACCTGTTTAATGTGGTATAAACTCAATTAGATGTTGGAGCATCAATTTTTGTTCAGTTACAGGAAAAGGGTAAAAAAGTTGGTAAATTAGCTCTGACTCTGACTCTGACTCTGACTCGGCTTGCTTTAACTAGGTAAAGTGCAGTCACATTTGTTTTTTTACGTTTCCTCTGTTTTGTGCTTCCTAAGAATTACACGTGTTGTTGTTGTTGCTTTTTTAAAAATGCACACTTCTATAGCATAATCATTTGTAGCCTGTATGGTAAAATAGATGTAAAAAAGTGAGATTCTGATATTTATAATTACTTACTTGTCCAAATATGTAATGTTACTTACTGTGTTTGGGCTTTATTTGTCTCTCCAAGAAATGTACATCTTATCTACGACTTTATTTTCCAACAAGCAACATTTCCATCGAGTCAAACAGTTCCTGAGAGCTTGTTTACGAGCGTGTGTGGTTCAACATGGTGAAACAATGTGAAAATACCCCTTGTGTCTTTATGTCTGTGATCGTACAAAGCTAGAAGGTCTTTTATCCAGACCCTTTAATTTCCTGCTCGTCTCCTTGTAGTTTCTCCTCATAATCAGAAAAGGCTCCATGACAGGGAATGTGAGTTGCATGCTATAAAAAGCATAACACACACACACACAGATGGAGACAGATGTTCCTATGCCTTCCTCATTCCTGTCATGCCACAGTCGTCCCTTTCATCCCACCATCCCCGGTCGTATCCAAAAGATGGCTAAGATAATGAGAAACTGGGAACTGCACCAGAGATCCTTCCCTGTGTTCGTCCCTCATGTCCTCTTCCACCTTCTCCTTCCCTCTGCCCTCCAGCACTGCTCTTACATCTTGTTTGCATTATCGGCCGTTTCCACCTGAGCTCCTGACAGCCCTTACATTGGGTCTAAAGCCGTTCACTAGGCCGGCAGCTTAGCTCAGCCCAAACACAGGCGTCCTGTAGCAGTCTGAATGGACTTATCAGGCCCTGCTGCTAATCAGAGAGGATTACCCAGCACGACTGTACCTTTCTGAAACAGTCCTTGGAAATAGCGAGAACATATGATGAGCACTGACAGCATCACCTTCACTAAGTTTTGTTTAAATATAATGTAGCGAGTGCTCATGTGCAGGGCCATACCTTTGTCTTTTAAAGGATAATTCCAGTTTATTACAACTTTGGTCTTATTTCTATAGTTTTTATTGGCTATGATGACATTTTACTCACCAAAGTATATATAGTATATATAGTATATGGAAGTGAGTGCACCTGAAATGTTGGTAATAAACTAATAACTCATTGGACGATCACTGTAAGGTGGTAAGTTGGACCAACATGTCGACAAAATCACTTTCTTTTCCACAGAAGTTTGGGTCCATTTTACAAAAGTGAATAGGAGCACTGTTTATTTTTATTAGGTACACCATAGCTAAAACTAATGCTGTCTACACAGTCCTGCAGTGAATCCTCCCTTGTTGAAGGTTGTAAAGTTCAGTTTTTGTTCAAAATAAGAGTTTTGATTCAACTGTATAGTCATTGTGGAGATTGCAGTTTGTGTTGCTGTTTTTCTGTAGTTCATCATATCGACAGGTGTTTCTGTTACTACCAGGTGGACGAAATAATAGAAACACCTGTAAGTTTGAGAGTAAATGTGAGATTAGAAGTTATTATTAGTAAAAGATGTGAGAAAGTGGCAAGAACCTGTATATAAAGTATATAAAGTGTATATTTGTGATACTTGAGTAGGAAACATGTCAAAATGAGCAAGAGGGAATTATTTCATGTCGCAAATGTTGAGGTTTGTTTAAAATCTGTTTGATTGTCTGAATGATCTCCTTGTCTGACCTCTTTTTAGCGAAGTTGCCATCCCAGATCTCAACATTTAAAGGTACAATAGAGTTTTCTTGTGAACAAAATTATATTAATGTTTACTGTGTGTATCTCCGAGGTTTCACAAACTTGTTGTCTTCGTGATAAAACAATTGCAGAGCTGATTTTTGGGGGAATTTGAAAAACTACATTTGCTAGCAGTGTTTACATATTTATAGGGTCATTTTGAGTGCAGATTTGCTGCTCTGTTCACCCGCGTCTCAACTGTATTGACATTGCACTCACAGCCACAAAATTGCCACCACTGCCGGAGAGAAAGTGAAATTCAATATTTGAAACGTTATAATCTAGACCAGCTTGTCTATAAAATTCAAGACACATGTTTAGACTTAGTGCTTTTATCCAGTTGAAAATAATTTCATCGGGACATCTGCGCTAGAATCAAAACTGAAAACAAAAACAAGACTACTCTGAGAATTACTCACATAGATCAAATATAGTGGAGACACAAACACCATCACCCTGATCTATTGGTTTCCATACGTCTGCTGTATTGATTTGTCGGTTCAGGTGATGCGGAATAGCAAGTGAAAAGGAGGCGTTTTCTCTCCTGCAGTGTTTTCTCAGCTACTGTCAAGGGCAAACACTTCACAGTTAGCACCAGGCAGTGGGGGACAATCACCAGAGGCCACAGAAAGAGATTTAAGTGTTTTTGCTACCTGCAGACACAATCTCCGTGTGTCTGCTGCTTGTATTTGCTTCTCTGTAAAGTGTGATTTCAAAAGCAGCTCAAGGCTTCTTGTTGCTGCTGTTTCTGCCATCTAATATTCGAGTGCTTCTCTCTCGCTCTCTCTCAATCTTTCTCGCTACTTGTGCTGGCTTGTTATTGTGCTATCTCATCTAATGTCATTAGAGAGGAAATCAGACTCTGTTATACACCTTCCCTGCTGTGCTGCTTGATAATGTGGTTACTTTTTTTTCTACTCTTCTCTCTTCTGCTGTTCTACTTCTCTGGCAGAGAAATGGTGATGATGATATTAGCCCTTTGACATGCCAGAGTCATAAAATAATAAAAAACCCACCATGCACTGCAGTTGCGGTGATTAGTGGAAAACCGGGGCCCTCAGATTTGACTACAGGAGGGGGGGTTGAGCTAACAGGGTGCTCAGTGGCCGCAATGTTCCCACTCGTGTTTTACTCTTTTAAACACACACACACACACACACACTCAATCACACACATTCTCACAAACACGGACAAACACGCTCACACACCGGCCAATATGTGCCCCTGTTTTCATTCCTTTGTGTCAAACCACAGTGATCTCATCTCTCCATCAGGCGGTTTGCAATGCGTGTGCGCTAATAGCTGCCTCCCTTCCTCTTTGGCTCTGTTTGCCTCTGTCTGTCACACGCACACACACACACACACACAGACACTGTACACCCTTCCTCACTACATCACTGACTTACTTCCAACAAGCTTTCCTTTTCTCTGTTACTATCTCACAATCTTTCCCTTTATCCTCGCCACCATCTCTTAAATACACACATACATACATTGTGACACACAGATGTACTCACACACACACATATTCTCTGTGCTTTGTGTGTGTTAATACCCTGTCAGAGGAGATTATAACTGAGTTGGGGATGACAGCGCCTCTGGGAAATCCCCTCCGGGGGTCAGGAGCTGCAGTCACTGCCCCGGCGCTGCCCCGGGCCTCGTCTGGTCCTCTCTGGTGTTCAGGATGCCCTCTCTCTCTTCTCTGCAGACCCCAGACCCCCTTTTCTCTGGTCCTACAGTATAGTGCGCCCTTGTCGCCATCGATATTCATACTGACAGTGTTTTTCAGTTTGCTCCCTTACTATCTGAGGCTCCTGGATGTACCTGAGTAATTCTAGGCAGATAAATAGATGTTTTAGAGAAGCCAGACCCTAATACCGATAAAATTGAAAATACCAACCTGGTCGGTATTTTATCCGCTGTGCTCAATCTAAAAAGCCTTTCCTTCCTCCCTCAGGTCAATTGATTGAGCGAGTCCTCCTCTCCTCCATGTTGAACCCTGGTGAACAGTGGCAGACGTACCGTCACCACGGACGGTCTCTGAGCCTGGAGTACCGGCTGCGCTTCCGCTGTGATTCAAACTACTACGGGCCTAACTGCAACAAGTTCTGCAGGGCCCGCGATGACTTCTTCGGTCACTTCAACTGTGACCCCAGCGGCTCCAAGGTCTGCATGGAGGGCTGGACGGGACCAGAGTGCAAAGAAGGTGAGACAGGAAACTTAAATCTGCAGTGTAAGAGTACCTCACACCTCATGTCCTCTATAAATTGAGAAAATTTACAATTTGAGTTCCAGTCTTTAGTTTGGTTTAGTCCAATTTAAAGCTGCAAAATACTTAAAAACACACACCAGGTAACAATTAATCTACTTATTAAAATACTAAAGGTTTACCACTCACACCAATAAAATACTTAACTCCTGATTGCAACTGATGTACAGTTATGTATACGTACCCTAAGGTATAGTTAAAGGAATAGTTTGACACTTTTGGAAATAGATTCAACTTTCTTGTGAAGAGTTAGATGTGATAGAAATCAATACCACTTTCACAGCTGTGTGGTAAATATGAAGCTGGAACCAGCTGTCAGACTGGAAACGGAGCCAAAGATAACAAAATATACTTATTTCAAACACTTTACTGGTTGCTCGGCAACCTCACAGTGGGCTACTGCTCTCGACCAAACAATAGTCTGCAATGTACCACCTATAAAACCACAAGTTGTTTTTACACTGCATATTTTTTGTACAGATAAAAAAAAGAAGACGTGTTGAGCTTTAGACCTTTGGACAGAGATAGGCTAGTTGTTTCCTCCTGCCTTTAGTCTTAATGCTAAGCTAACCACCTTCCGAATGTAGCTTCATATTTATGGTACAGATATGAAAGTTTTCTCATCTAACGTCCAACAAGAAACCGCAATACATGTCCTACACTGTTCCTTTAACATCTGCATTATAAATTGTCAGAGTTACATTATTGCTTCATGCTAATGTAAAGGTTTAACGAATTATCTGATACAAATAATGTGACAAAAAATTCATTCAGACTTGATGATTACTGTGATTAAATACATAACTCAAGTGAGTTTCTGTGGTATGCTAATTTACTTATATACCATGTGGAAATCAATATATCTGTTCAATAGTAAATTAATAATAAATAAAAACACAACAGCATGGTCTGTAAAACACTTTTTTAAAACAAATATTGTATTTATATAAGTACAGAGAAATTTATGATATGATTAAACATAATGAAATGAAAATAAATAGGTGTAAGAGACAAAAACACTGGTAGAGACCTGATAGTGAAACGTAAACTGTTTCACAATCTAAAGTGTTTGTGTGTGTGATTTGTAGTTAATGAGCAAAAAAAGCAAAAAGCAAAACCACTAGGAAAGTTGTTGTTCATTCATTTTTATTGCTCAGCCGCTCAGTCGTTCATATGAGAAACTTTCACATCTTTGGTTGCTTTCACTCCAAAATGGTAGAAAATATTCAATTAATATTTTCCTCAAGTTGACTCAAGGCCGCTGATGAGAAAAATTAGAGAATACTTTTGCTTTCCATTTATTTTTCCACTATCCCGGGAAGGGGGTTTCCTCTGTAGCAATCCCTTCCAAGGTTTCTTAAAAGGTTTTTCCATGAGTGTCCTTGTTTTCCTTTCTAATGTTGGTCTCTGAAGCCCTTTGAAATTGTTTATGTGATTAAGGGCTGTTAAAATAAACTTGACCCATGAACCAGTGTCATCAGCTTTAAATGGCATATGTATTGTTCTGACCATTAAACCAAGTTGAAGCCCTCAAACAACCCTTTGAACAGGATCAGCGTCATAAAGAAAGACAGTTCTCCCAAAGACAGACGGAAAAGGAAACATAAGTAAACACATCTACCCCTGTTCACCAGTTAAAAGCAGAGGTTTAGACTCGACTTGGATATCAACACCAAAGACTTGAGACTTCACGTGAACTTGACCCTTAAAAGTTGATACCTTCCTCCTTTATTCATTCTCAGCAAGTCGACAGTGAATCCCCCAGATCCACTTTGTTTGAACCAATCCGACAGCATACAGTCACACTTACATTACATCTGGTGAAGAGCGCATTATGAGTTGTTTAGGACTTGAAACTTGATTCCAAAGACTTGAGACTTACTTGTGACTTACAAAACAGTGGCGTGGTCCCACCTTTGGTAATAGAGTTAGCTTCAGTGGACAGTGTGTGTGTGTGTGTGGGATTATTCTCCCTCCGTCTGTGACTCATCAGCTGGACGACCTCACTGTGTGACCTCGGAGCGCTGCCATCATGTTGCGATGGTAAAAAGTGAATGAAGGAAACCAGAGTGGAAACCATGGGAACCATGAAGGACATCCTCACTTCATCTGACTTCCTCCTCAGCAGGTTGCTGATTGGACTGCAGAGAAGCAGGAAGTCTAAAAAAAATTTGCCAGGGGTCCCTCTGTTACCCCCTGCAGGTTAATGACCACGCTGAAGATTAGGGAGTTTTCAGTGTTGGGTTCTCCAGCTGGAAACTTTTGAATGGCTTAACTGTTCAAGTAAATTATCTCACAATGAAATATGAGAAGTCAGAGTTAGAGGAGACATATGAGGTTTGATCTAAGTGACAGTACCTCCATGGATGATGTACTTTATCATCTATGTGCATCTATGTGCAGTTAAGTGTGTGTTTTGATAATCTGGTGATATCTGGGGTTATCTTTTGTTTAACTGGCAGAGATCCAGATGTATTCAGTGTAGATTCCAGGTTTTAATGCCCAGTAATAGTTGCTGTTTCTTAGTCTCTAATAGCTCTCTTTTTGTGTGTTTTGTTCACAGCGGGGTGCAAGCAGGGGTGTCATCAGGTCCACGGCTCCTGCACTGTACCCGGAGAGTGCAAGTGAGTATGAATAATTAAGAAAATGTACACATTTCCACCACAGACACTTACTTAACAGACACAAGGGCCTGATTATAAATAATGTCAATATTAATGTCCCAATGTACAAAGCTGGATGCAATGTCAGTGCCAGAATTCAATTCAACACATATCACGTTTTTGATCCTTCACCGCCTGGATTAGATGTCTGCAATGGGGTTTGAATCCCATGGGTCTTAAATCCTGCAGCAGTAGGGAGGAGCCTGCACTGATGGGCCATTTCCATTCTAAAATCGCTGCAGTCATTGCTCGAGCTCTGATCTCTCTTCACTGTTAGAACTGTGGAAGTTAAAAGCCACATATAACCTGTGAAATACGTATCTGTATCTGTTATAACATATTTTTCCAGTCTAGTTCTTATGTAGCAGAGCAACAATTAGTGCAACAGTAATATAACTTAACTAAAGTTTCACAACATTCTGTGAAAAAGAAAAAGCATCTCTTCCTACAGCCATTATATTAATATAACACCAACAGTATGCACATCAGTCCTGTGAACGTGATATTAACTATGCACTCGTATTCTTCTTTAGGTGTCATTATGGCTGGAAGGGTCCTCTGTGTGACCAGTGTGTGACGTTCCCCGGCTGTGTGTATGGAAGCTGCACCGAGCCCTGGCAGTGTGTGTGCGATGTCAACTGGGGAGGTCTTCTGTGTGACAAAGGTCAGATATGTGACCCTTTAGGTTGAATGAAATAAATATAAGTATATACTAGCAGCAGGTTTTAATTTGTGTTTGTTGATCTGTTTGCTTTCTTCTGTCTAATTTAACATCCCAAACATGTAACTGTAGCCATGTGTATTGAAGCTTTGAGACTCACATGGTCCTCACCCCACATTTCACGCCACACACAACCACATTTTATGTTACAGATGTCTCTTTGCCTACCACTGCTGTTTGCTGTTAGTAGACCCACTAATTCACCATGATGAAAAACTGCAAGCAATGTAAAACTGAACCAAAACTAGTAAAAAACTCATTAACACTACCTACTGCCCAGTGTGCTGTGCCACAGATGTCTTGGACAATATCATATATCTTTCCTCATACTTTTATTTTACTGTCAATATTTAATACAAACAAGGTCCTTCACAGCTAAACTCAATAGGTAGAGGACTGTGTCATCTGCGTAAAGATGAAAGAGGTTTGCTGTGTATTGTATGTTGGTCAGGTTTGTCTGTGTGTGAGAAAGACTGAGA